ATGTTGCCTCAATAAGGGGGGGGGGGTAAAATGATATTGTTAGAAAAATGAGGGGTCATGAAAAATTTTTGCCCCCTACCCGGCATTAATAATGACTTGTCCCTTAGTGATTATTTAACAATTATCAGGCGTTTTATATATTTATATATCGTGAAAGCCTTAAAGCCGCGAACGCTATCAAAATACTCGCCTCCATTTCCGCCAAAATGATCTTTCCAACGATTAGGTAACATTTCGTCTTTTCCACCAAGAGGAGAGGCACATTACCAGAACGTTTGGAGAACCAAACTTCAGGGTCTTCATGATCCTAACAAAGAATTACATGATTAATATCATTTTAGTCAATTTACTCGATTCTGATTGGTTAAAAACCTTGCCGATTAAACATTAATCGGCACAGTGTGCCGATTAAAGATTAATCGGCATGGATACGAGCCCGCGTGCATCATGCGTTGAGTAAACACAAAATGTCAACTTGAAAACAAACAACTTTACTACTTTAGTTGAAAATGTACATTTTCTAAGCTCTTAGTTTACAATGTGTTAAAAGGACTACAAGTCTGTATTAAGCTCAATTAAGTTCTAGTTTAATACTAAAAGGCGGCCTTCACGCCATGCTTTTTAAGAACAACAAATTACGCATGCGCGCCCGCTAGGACTCCCGACTGCGGGCTCAAAACCAAATATCAACATCTCCCTATTTTTACAAAAAGGCATATATATATATATATACCGAGTGGCGCAAATAAAAGTACAACTGTTTGATTACTTGTAACTCAGAAACAATAAGCAGTAGAACCATAAATCGAGTTTAATTGCATCCAGCGATATCTAACTTAAATTTTGGTATATTTGACAGGCATATTCGTCCAAGATTAACTGAGATATAAGAGTTTAAACTTTTGTTAACAATTTTGAAACGGTCACAAATTAGCTAAAAATCAGCTTAATAGGCCGTTTTTAGCTAATTTGTGACCGTTTCAAATTTGCTAACAAAAGTTTAAACACTCATATCTCAGTCAATCTTGGACGAAAATGCCTGTCGAATATACCAAAATTTAAGTTAGACATCGCTGGATGCAATGAAACTCGATTTTGGGTTCTACTGCTTATGGTCTTTGAGCTATATGCAATCAAACAGTTATACTTTTTTTTGCGCCACCCGGTATATATATATATATATATATATATATATATATATATATATATATATATATATATATATATATATATATATATATATATATATATATATATATAACCACTAAAAGTGAATGTACTGTGATAGTTCCTTTGATGCTAGACTGCAGATTACTGTAAGTTTCTGTATCGTGTCCGAATAAGTTCCGAATACCTACAGTATATATCTAATGTCTATCTCAATCATTAATATAGTAATAAAACTTTAACATACTGTATAGTCTTTCGTCCAGTGGGGCTTTTGTCTTGCTCGTTGTGGTCTTGCTTGTACCTCTGCTTCTCCCTTGTTGTCTTTACTGTTATCTTTGTTGACTTCACTTGTCGTGTGGCGTATATGAACTCGGTTTCTTCTATATACACCATTCTTTCCTTCAATGATATACGATCGTTCACTATGTTTGGCACGTACTTTTCCTCTTCTCCAGTCATACTTCTTTCCTTCTGTGTGTTGGTAGTACACCGGCTGACCAGGTGACAGTTGTTTCAGGTCTCGAGCGCCTTTGTCATAACTTTGCATAACCAGAAGGCGGTGTCTGGCTCTCTTCTGTGTTGCATTTCTCGCCCATTCTGATTTTGTGTTCGATATGGCTGGTAGAAATGCTTGTGTTGCTTGACGAAACATCATTTTAGCTGGACTTTGCCCAGTACCCTGGCGTGGCGTGTTTCTCAGTTCGAGTAAAGCCTCATATTGACCAGTGTTGTCCCGCAGTGACTTCTTCATCATTAGCTTTATAGTTTTAACCGCAGCTTCCGCTTTTCCATTCGATTGGTGATGGAGGGGTGACGATGTTACATGCTTAATTCCCCAGTGTTTGGTGAAGGTCTTGAACTCGGAGGAAATAAATTGTGAACCACAATCAGTTACCATTTCACTTGGTATGCCATATCTTGCAAAATGTCCTTTGAGTTTGGTGATTATCTGTTTACTTGTGGCAGTGCTTAGGTGGTCAACTTCTATGAAACCCGAGAAATAGTCAACCGTGGCTAGATA